CCATAGTAGCTGCAGTCATGTTCCTCTGGAAATTATGAATAGGATTCAAGATTCATTCCTTGCACACATTGAATAAACTTGAAAACATTTTGTAGCCGACTTGATTGTTACAGATATTTTAAGGTCTTTTTTAAGTATCATCTTACTGAGTAATCACTGCTAAATTTTAATACTTCATCAGCCTATATGGTAAATGTTCATTAAGTTGATACCCAAAATGGCACTTCACAGTGTAGTGACATAATGGCTGATTATATTATTGACACTTCTATCTCCAGAATAGAACAAAAAAAAAAACTCATGAATTTTATTAGAGACAGGCTGAATATGTTGTTTCACAAAATGGCATGGCTCAACAATTGTTTTCTCATTCTGCTAGGTTTTAAGAAACTGAATTTACATAGAACAATTAATAAATAGTTCAGATTTCCAACACAAATCTGTCTAAATGTTTAAAGGATTGAAATTAATATTTATAGCAAAAGATTTTCTATAAGGTCTATAAAAGGCTTTCATTATTCTCCAATTTATTCAAACTAGTAGTTTTATCTTTGTTTCTTTTATTACATTTCAAGTGGTATATTTTTTTCCAAATATTCTCATTTATGGAGTGCATTTGATAATCATTGGATGTCACATAGTACTTTTTAAAAACTTTCTCTAGAGATCTGTGTCCAAACAAATGAGAAATGTACAAGGTAATATCAACAAGATGGATGATACACACATCTGGAGAAGGTTATAAAAATGAAGAAGTTGAAATAATAAAAATGCTTCATCTCAGCATTTTATGCTGAAGGAAAATTATTCTTTAAACTTAAAAATTGCAGCACAAGAGCCAAACTCAGACAATTTATAGCAATTTTTGAAAAATTCTAAAATCATCCATATTGACAAATCTGTCAACACAGTGTATTTCTTTTTATTAAAAAATCTTTCAAAAATAAAATATACTTTTCTGAAACTTTATTTGAGGTAGATTAGCTGATTTAAAGTTTAATTAATTTGACTTGAAACAAATATTACTTACTTTTAGTTTTTAAAATCTCACAAAAAAGTATTTTTCAACACAGAGTGGGTGAATTTCCAAAAAATGTGTTTATTTACCACAAAAACAATTTCCCATACTTATGTTCACACGCTGCCGCAAGATAAACAAAATATTCAACCAAAATTTCGAAAGTTCTTTACATTATTAAAAAGGATCAAAAAATATAATTCAAAATAATAATAAAAACGTGTTCTTTTAACAATAAAAGATTTTTTTAACCATTGTTTTTTTTTTATTAATTTTTTTTTTTACGGATTTTTATTTTTTCATCATGAATTCTTTAGCGAATCTTTGATACCTTAAAAAAATTCTTTACGACACACTTTCAAAAACCTAAAAATAAATGTTCATTTTCATTTCCCTGATAATTTTATTTAAACTAATCTATTTTATCTCAAAAAAAGTATAATTCGCTGAAATTTACACTTTAAAAAAATAAAAATAAACAAACTTGTCCAATTATTTTTTACGCCAGCCAAAAATGTCTTTGACTAAGAAAGTTCGAATAACTAAAACTCCATTTGATATTTTTACTTTACTTACTAACCTCGTGAAATTATTTTTACTACATTTTTGTGCTTGTTTAAAAACAGAAAGAGAGCAATTCCCTGATTTGATAATTTTTATATTAATTGTGTATGTTACGTTTGGTTATTTTAATTTAAATAATTTTCCAAATCCTATTTTTACTTTTTATTAAAAACCTAATCAGTGTTAGTTGCTACAATCTCAAAAGGACTGATGTTTATTAGAAATAAATAATAAAAGTTAAAAAAACAACAAAAAAACAAAGCCGCATCAAAGTACATCAAAAATGGCTTTTTTTTGTTGCACGTTTCAACTAAAAATGGTTTCAGCTTTTTGTTCAGTGCATAATTCATACATTTTTTTTTAAATAAATAAATCACGGGTTACATTTCTTTTTTGCTGTTTAGTGTTTACTATTTGCTGCTTTTTTTGTCGTTCAATAAAATTAAATAACTGTCTTTATGCAATTAAATACGTGTCAACTGTATTTTTATGTGATTGTCTTAAACGGTAAAAGAAAAGTAAAAGTGGAGGGAGAGGACAGAAGGTGAGAGAATAGTGTTTCAGAAATCAATCTCTAGGGTATTTGAAGGATACCTTTTTTTTTAGTTTAAAAAAGTTTAAACTTTAAAAAAAAGTCTTTGTTATCTCGTCTGTTAGTATTTTCACTTAATAAAATCAGAAATAACACTTTATTTTCATTCTACCTCTCTAGTATTTATTTTTTGTTGTCCTTTATAGCTCTACTTTTTTTATTAGAATTAGTTAATAAATAAAAAAGACGTATAAAAAAATTTAAATTTAAAGCTTTAATTTAGAGTACTGTTTCTGTAGTAAAAAATAAATGACAGTCTCAGTAAGTTTAAAAATTACATGTAAAATAAAATAAAAAGACGAAATCTTAGAGAAAAATGAATAAAATTGTGTTACAAAATCATCATTAGTTTTTAAAGCTGCTTAGCGGGATGAATAATTTTTTTTAACAATGCAAATATGCTATATTTCAATCAAAAAGTGAAAAGTAAAAAAAAGAAAAAAAAAAGAAACAAAACAAAAACAACAAAAAAAAAAAACACTTCACATAAAAATTTAAAATCCTATCAATAAGCTTTAAATGATCGATCAGGAATGCTAAAAAAAAAAAAAGCTGTCCATGGTTTGCGAATATATAGTTAGTATTTTTAAGAGGTTCGTTAACATCAGTTTCAAAAATGTCTAATAATATAGAATTTTGATTTTTTGACAACGAAAATAAGTTTTTTTAATTTATTTTTACAACACACATTTCAAACCCGTTTGAGGGAAAAAGGCGATATTAATTCCCCTTTTAACAGATTCTTTCCTACTTTTTTTGCCATAAAACAATTTCTAGCAGGATTCTAGTTGTCATGTTCTTCGACCAACGTTTTCTGTTCCTCCTCAAACCTATTGGGTTTAAAAAGAAAAAAAATCTTATGTATTATTCCTAACTTTGTCTTTATTATGTTAAAAAAACAAAAAAACAACAAATCTCTGCAAGACAGTTACTCTTTCACCTGATATCAATGTGTTAATTAATTCATCAAACAATGATGAAATTATTGTATTTAATTTATATACTTTTTTTTAATCAATTCGCCCCAAGCAAGGCAACAACGCCTCTAAGACGCAAGGAATGAAATAGAATGAGGAACCGGAAACCCTATCAGATAACAAGGGAAAAACCTCCTTTCCTGTTCAAGTGATTTTTCCAACTTCTCATCTTCCAGTGTTTTAAAAAGTTTTACAGTTATAGGTTTAAAAAAAAAATAATTAAATCGTACTTATTTTGTTTAAAATTTAAATTGTTTTTTAAGCATTTCCTAAAAAGGCTAAAAAACTAAATAAAGAGGGCTTGGTTAAGTTAACTTTTAAAAATATTTTCTCAAACTTACAGAAGACTTCAAATTCATAGAATATTTTAGAAATTATGTTTTTGTTATTGAAATCAAATAAAACTAAAAGTTTTGTTTTGTTTGTTTTTATCTGGGATTTTTTTGTAAACTTTCTCTTGCAAATTATTACGTTCCACTTTTTTTTTTTTTTATAAACTTTGATTTACTTTTTTAAAAAAGTCTCCAGTTTTAAATGACATTACTTAGTGAAATTCTTTTCCTAACATTTTCTTTTTCTTACATGGTAATTATAAGTTTGATTTTTGGAGAGTGTGGAGCATTACATAACAATAACAATATTAATAATATCATTGTTAGGCTAAAAAACTTTAAAATTAAACATTGTTGAGCCTCAACATTTGAGAGAATAATAATAATGTAAGAAACAGTAAGAAGATTTTTGTTATTTTTTTTTCAATCAATGACAAGACTTCACAATTTACCAGTTTTTTTTTTTTGGTATCACCAATCGATCGATTTATTAAACTCACCTAAAAAGTATGAAAAAACGTTTTTTTTTTTGTGAGATGAGAAAAAAATAAATAAATAAAAATGCAAGGAGAAAAGTAAAATTTCAAATTGAGACAGAACTTTTTTTTTTCCCCCCAGGGGGTGTATTTTGGAAGGAAACAGACTGAGAAAAAGAAAAAAAAATATTTCCACATTAATAGCAAATTTACAGATTAAAAAAAAACAAAACAAAATAAACAAACATCGACATGGGTCATAATGTGGTATTTGAAAATTTAAATTTAATGATAAATGTACATTGCATAAATCGGTAATTAATTGCCTCTCCCACTTCTTATTATTTTGTTTAATAAGTGTTTGAAAAGATAATATAAAGTGATGAACAAGAAATATTTTACAGACAGAAATTATATGTGGAAACGAAGGAAAAAAAAAAAACAATTGTGATTCATTACTTTTGATGATGATGATGTTGATCATCATCACCACCACCATCAGTAAAAATTAGTTTAACTTGACTTACTTAAAAAAGAAAGTATTGTCACGATGTATATTTTCTTTATTTAAGGAATTTTCTATTGTAAGTGTACATAAGATTAGACAAGACTTATAAATGAGGAAAAAAATAAGAACTTAATGACTATTTAGTCGAAATAGATACAAAGAATTCAATGGATTTTTTTTCTTCCAATAAGACAAGCGTGGTTTGCAAATAAGAAAAAAATCGTAGTTTAGTGAAATTAAACAAATAATTTAGAACTCAACATTTAATCAGACAATCATCAGAAAATTGAATTAAAATGAAATTATGAATAATAATAAAAATAACCTGATGTTTTAAAAAATAAGGAATGTTTTTTTTTTTTTTTCGTTCTCTTTTTTTTTTTTTTACTACTGTGCAGCCGAGAAATGAAGTCACTTGGTTCAGTGAAAATAACTTGACACCAATAAATGAAATCAAGAAAATTAACAAGATAATCCATGCTCTGGCAAATATCCATAAAATGAACGATCTTGAATGAAATTAAATTACCCACCGGGTCGACTTTATCCCAATTATTGTACTTTCCCGTGAAGTCCAGCGTCATGACATGGCCGCAAACCGACGTGAATTTAAAGAAAGCCGGTTCTCCCTGGAATTTGCCACGATATTCGTGGACAGAACACGCTCCATTCGAGCCTTTCCGAGTGGTCATGCTTCCATTGGATAAAATTTTAGCCAGGGAAGCGGCCAGTGACGGTTTTTCCGCCACCATGAAGACCGTCTTCATGACTATTTGTCGGCCACAAAACCTTTAATTAATTGTAAGACTCGTAAAATACACCGGTAAGCGCACACATACCGCTCAGTACTTCGGCATTTTCCGTTAAGGGTCGGAAAGTCTGTTCATAGTTTTCGGCAATGTTCGGAAGGCTTCGTAGATTTAGCTTTATTCACATTTATTTTTTCTTCCTGATTTCATTGAGAAAAAAGTTGTTTTTTTTTTCTTAGATTTTTCAGTTGAATATGATTTATTATACGTTTTTAACAGCGTACACTTTTCATGTTAAGTATAAAAATTATTAGAAAAAAAATGAAATCAAGTCAAAATTAGTATTTTTAAAGGATGTTTTTTTTTTTTTTAACTTTAATGTACCTTCAAAATCAAATGGATACGCGAAAAAAAAATAAAAACGATACACTCTGTTTTCTTTTAAGAAATTATAAAAAATCTGGGGATTATCAGATATTATTGAATTTAATGAATTGAATTATTATATTGAATCTTTTTTTTTTATTTTCAAGCTTTCTCGTAGTATTTTTGGATCAGTTTTTTACTTTATTTAGTTTATTTTTGGATCCTGTTTTTTACTTAAATTGTGGTTCCGTTTAGGTACCGCCGACGGACTTTCTAAAAAAAACAAAACAAAACAAAAACAAAAGTAAAACCAATAAAAAAAAACAAACAAACAAAAACGAGAAATGCATTAATTTAAATGTCATCTTTAAGTTAAATTTTGGTTTTATTTGAAAGTAATAACGCAGTATCAGCAGCTGAAATTGTTACGGCACACTTAGTTTTAGTTAATAATGCTATTGTTTTTTAGCATATAGTAGCGAGAGAAAGGAATATCGAGGATTACATTGAAACAACGTTTATTGTTGGTAAAGACTAAAGAGTAGTACAGGAATGTCGATCTGGTGTAAGTGTAGTGTCGGGAGTGAACCATTTCTTGTAACAGCGTGGTTGAGGTCACAGGATTACGGTTGGTGCACGTTTGGTTGATGGAGATCACGGTTGTAGATCGTCTAGTCGGTTGGGCAAACTGTTGTGTTGAAACGAGATGACATCGGATTGGCTTGGTCTTGGTAGCCCTGTTCTGTGCAACGGAGGTCCCTGGGGTCGACTGCAAGGGGAATGCCTTGTAAACGAGTCGGGGTAGAGCTTTTCTGTGGAACGGAGGTCGCTGCGTTGACTGCGAAGGGAATGCCTTTTAAATGAATCGATGTAGAGCTTTTCTGTGGAATGGAGGTCGCTGCGTCGACTGCGAAGGGAGTACTTTGTAAAAGAGTCGAGGTAGAGCTGTTCTGTTGAACGGAGGTCGCTGCGTCGACTGCGAAGGGAGTGCCTGTAAAAGAGTCGATGTAGAGCTGTTTTGAGCCGAAACTAGATAGCCGAAGTGTTAGGTCAAGCCAGGAAGTGGTAACAGTTGTTGAGATGTGTGGTCATATTGAGTGGTGGCGGTGAAGGCGCTGACGGTAGCGGTAATAGCGCTTTGCGTGGTGGCCGGTCCGCAACTCTGTTGTCATGGTGAAAAGGTCATGGCGGCGGTAGCAGCAGCACCCGGCGGGCACAACTGTCTTTGGTCTTCCTCAGAGCCTCCTGTTAAGCAGATCTGGTAGTCCCAAGGGGCGTCCCTTTCATTGGCGGGAACGTTCGCGAATGGTCACCGCCAGAGTTCCCTTTGTAGACCGGACATGGTGCGTGGAGCCTAAGACGCAGAAAACGACTTTCATTTTCTACCTTCAAGGCGTTCACGTCCGGCCAGCGTGCAGAATGAATCAGAATGAGATCTAATTGCGACAGAGTATAACAATAATCAAACCAAATGAACCACTCTTAGATCTTGCTTCATTTGTAGATATGTTGAGATTGAAGATGTCTCAAATAATATCCCAATCTCCTAGACAAACCCATGCAACATATGTGTCAGAATCACGCAAAAACTAACTTTGTACTAGTAAAAGACAATGCATCCAAACACCCCTTACAACCAGCTTACAGATGTCCTTACAAGCTAGTAAAACGTACAGAGAAAAATTTCACAGTTGTAGTTAATAATAGGCAAGAGAATATTTCTATGAACCGACTAAAACCGGCAAATTTAGAAAATATTGTTGATGATTCATTAGAAACCACCAAGCAGATACAGCGTAGAACTTCAACGAGTAATCGTCATATTAGATGGCCTAAGAAACTGTGTTCTGACGTAACATAATAAAATTTTCCTTTCTCGAGATTGTTGGGGGTACATAATAATAGTATCAGCTTAAGTAAACATAATATTAGCATCAGCTCTCGTATATAAAAACACGTGAACCCTAAAGTAATTCTCTTCTTCCGAATTTTTCCTTTTTCGAACTGTGTGACATAAACTTTCCATGCTGAATCGAAAAGGGCTTCGAATGCTTCACACTAAAACAGACCATTACAGTTGTCAGAATTAATTTGAGAACTACTACTACAATGTTTTACAAGATCACGTTCTATCCTCTTTTTCATATTTGCACCGACATACACCACTGCTTCCAAAACCGTCACCCAAAGCTTTGATTTTTATCAGAGATAAGAATATATTTTTTGACGAAAGAGAGAGCTAGAAAATATAAAAAGGAATTTGACCATCCCTGCCTTAACCATGGTCGGGGTGGGCGGAGGGTTAACGCTCACAGCTTGTCGGGCGTCGTGGGTAAGACGATAAACTACGTCCAACAGCAATGCCTCTGATTTGGAGGTTTTGAGGAGCGTGGAACCATCTTTTAATTACTGGTGTTCCCAGGCCCACCCTGATCTGGGTTGGTAGCACCTGTTAGGGGTCCTAGCTATGGGCAAATAGTTAACCCCCAAACTGGTGTTAAAACACTATGAAAGTGTAAAAATAAGTTTTTAATATCAGAAATACTTTGTAAAAATTATTACCAGCAATAAATTTTTCAGGAAAAATTAATACCAGCAATACATTTTTGAAAAAAAAAATATTACTAGCAATAAAAATTGTTGGCATTAAATAACCCATTGAGGTTGATATACCGTAAAACAAAACAAACCAAACAACTTGTCGGACCCTTGCTTCCAAAACCAGTTCCTAAATCTTTGAGTCTTACTAGAGATCAGAATATATTTTCTGACGAATAAGGAAGCCGGGAAAGTGTATAGCAATTTTGGAGGGGAAAAATTCCTGATATTTCTGAGCCTTCTAATCTCGATAAATACGGACAATATGCGCCTCTCTGGCAGTGAGCATTTGACATCGTCTGTGACAACATCAGGTCGGCGACAGTAACACCAGTCATCTTCGGAACCTGTTTCTAGGAAGAAATCTACATGCTGGGCTCGAAAGACACAACGTCGGCTCTCTACTAAGACTACTTGTGATCTGCTTTCTAGGATCTCGAAATTCTTGTCGTTGGCCTCTACTACAAACTCACTCAGTGGCGTAGCTAGAGTAAACGTCACCCGGGGCGGTCCGCTCAAATGTCACCCCAATGACCCCGATTCATACATGCTCTACCTCTACTTTACTCTACTGACCTGTACGTTACTGTTTACATGTATGATCCAAGACAAAATCAATACCACAAAATAATCAGTTCAAATCAAAAGATTTTTAAAATGCAACTGTTCACTTTCAGAACAACTAAAATACAAAACACGGCAATACACAAAAGAATGACATTCGATACTATAGTCTTAGAATGAATGTTTTCTTGTTTTCATTGTGGCAAACTGATCAATGACATCGTCAAAATCTGTTTGTCTTGTAAGTTCGTTTTCAATGGACAGCACAGCCAGATCCGACAGTCTCGACTGGCTCATGGTTGACGTAATTTTCTGTTGCTAATTTTCCGTTGCATCATTTTCTGGGTACCATTTAATTATCAATGATTTGATTTTTAAGCATTTTTCTGAACATTGTAAATCAACTGCATTCTTTTAAAGGTTACCTAGAGAATTTATGCAAAGTTTATTTTTTTGTTTTTCTTTATACAAGTAAAATAAATTTACATCGTATTTTGATGTTATTATGATTTTAGTTTTAGTGATAATTTAAAAACAATAAATATTTATCATTAGTATCAATAATGGAAAATTAAGTTAAAAATTTAAAAGAATCGTTTTTGGAATAGGAAAATAAACACAAATTTTTCCGATTCTGATACCGTTTCCGATACCCCCAAAAGTTCCGATTTTTTCCGATTCTCGATTCCGATTCCGATTAATCGTCCCAACACTAGTAGATATATTCAAAAGTATATCGCTTACTCAATGGAAAATTGTATCTCAGCGAACTGATACACAGGCAAGACTGAAATTGTTGCACTTTTGGTTTCGTATTTCGCTTTGTTATTATTAATGATGCAGAGTTAAAACACCATATCATACGATCATAAAATGTTGCAACAATGTCTCTTGTTAGTAACCAAGATTGTAGCAACTGAAACACATGAAAGCTGAAAACATTGCTATTTTTACTACTCACAAATTTCACGACAATTTATTAGAAAATTTCTGACGGGGGACAAAACTGGGGGGTCATAAATTATTTCTGGGGTGTCATATGCCCGCCTGCGAAACCCTGTGTCTCCACCACTGTTTTCAGACTATTTTTGGCACCTTAGCCTGGTTGAAAAATTTTGTTGGGGGTGACATTGTGTCACCCCTCCTGTGCTGGCACTCGGGGCGGTCCGCCCCCGTCGCCCCCCTAGCTACGCCTCTGAACTCACTCAAATATAAACTACAGATCTTCCGATTGTTTTGCCCCTCAACAAGACCCTCTTAAGAAATCTTACATGAGTGTTAACCCCTAAAGAAGAATTTACTTGCTTAAAAAACTTTTAGGTGCCCAGAGAAATATTTTGAGCAAGCCTTTATATGGATATTTTTTCTTCCTTTAAGTTAAAGGACTTTTCTTCTCCCTTTCTTTCTCTCATATTCTGTATATATCCCTTTACCTTTTTTTTTGTGAATGTAAATAAAAAATTTTCTTCTTCTATGTTACACCTTGAGCAGGAGTTTGAGTTTTATTCTTCCACCTAAAAGAGAGAATTGTCTGCTCTAAACTTTCAAGCCGTTGTTACTTATCGATTCTGTTGTGGAGGACGTCACCACATTAATTTAACTTAGATTAGGAAACCAAACTGACGTGAAGAAAAAGAGGATAAGCCAAAGACATCATTATACATAAAATTTTTATTTAACAAGATGTACAAACAAGGATGTGAAAGAAAGGCATGCATTGAGTAAAACAAGAGTTGTCTATCTTTAACTATTAATTGTTCCAAAGTTCACTAAAAGAAATAAGGTTGTAATAGTTTCTGGTAATAAATGTTTTCAACAGTTTTGCTGTGTAAGAAAAATATTATGTGAGTATAGGGAATATTCAGCATGTGAGTGGTGGTGTGAGTGAGAAGATTGACGCATGGTTTCAACTGTCGTGGATTCGTGTGGAAGCTGAAATCTCACTACTTAACTAAGAATATTCTTTGCTTATATAGGTGATCATCGGCTCCGAAACGCTGCGGGGAAAAATCACTCTTCACGTGCAGACTATCTGATTGGTTGGTATTGACCAATTAGCGAGCGAGCTTTGGTGAAACTCACGAAAACTTCTGGGATCCGATTCTCCCAAAAGTGCACGAAATCGACTATATGAAAATATAACGATTATAAAATTGTTGCATAGCTGCGATTTATAAATTGTTCATTACACAGTAGTGTTGAGTTATTATCCAATGAATGTTTGTTGTTGTATAATTTGAATTTGCGTAAGTATGTATGTATGTGTGATGATGATGATGATGATGATGATGATGATGATACTGTCACCTATAACTTTAACCTTTTCATGTGGGAAAGCCGGGACAAATTTCCTACACAGTAAGTTCCTCTATAGCACACCCAAGAATATTTCGTTGTGTATGCAATTTACTTCTAAAATAACTCTTGTTTTAAAATTGTCTTTTGTTAATTTTGTTTTAACTAATGTTATCTTGCTGTGCAAATCAATTGGTTAGTTATTTTGTGCATGTATTCTTTACACCACCATTATTCCACGTGCTAAGATATTCCCGTAAGAAACCATACAGATTTAATTAATGAAGTAGCTAATTACTAAAATAAAAAGCTAATTCGCATTTAAAAGAAAAGAAAATCCCTATATAATTGAATTATTAAAGATTTTAGGTATTTTAAAAACCTCAATACGTTTTCTCGTCACTCATTGACTCATCGAACCGCCATTACAGACGAAAGGTGATTTGATCTATTGCGCGAAGTGTAAGCGGAGTTGTAAGATTATAAGTATTTGGTCTTTGAAAGTGTTGACAGATGTAATTTGTAAATATTTTTTGCAAAGAGAAAATCATACTTTTACAAAATCTAATTAATTGATCCTTAAAGTTGCTGTTTGTCTTCGAAGCAAATTTTGGAAAAGATATTGAATTTTAAAGAAATTTTTTAAGTGTTTTAATTTCCCTTTTGTCGACGTCCATCAAACTCACTAAGCGAACTGAACAGAAATGAGTTTGTTTTTACTTTTAGAGTTTTAAAAAATGTCTAAAATCTTTATTTAAGTACGTAAAATATTTTTTTTATAGGTTAACTTTAGGTTATTATATATGTACACTTAAGAAAGGCTCCAGACTATTTGGCGCAGAGCTTGGTTTCGGCTAAAATCAAGCATCTCTTTATTCTTTTGATTGGCCAAAAACTTTTAATTTATTTTTTCGGCGTTCCTTTATTTTTTATTTTTTTATTTTATTAATTTATTTTTTTTATAGTGGAAGTTATGTTTACATCTTATTTTGGTAGAGTTTTTAGTCACAATAACTAGAACCTGGACCAGCTAACTTCCATTTCGCAGCAGTTGTCCAGTCTTTTCTTCCTCTTTTTATATGAGAGTTGTCTTCTCATTTGTTGAGAAAGAAGTATAGCGTGATTAGAGTAGAGTAGAATAGAGTAGAGAGAGAGAGAGAGAGAGAGAGAGAGAGAGATTGGTTTTTGAGGAAAGCCTTAATTGAAATTCTTTTTTAATATTTTATTTTCATATTTTATTTCTTACATTTGAGGACACCACGAGTCAAAATATATTTGGCAATTTCTCAGTTAAAAACCAAAGCCTTGTAGTATTAATTCTGAATAATTGCGATATAACGAAAATATGTTTGTACTTGCTTGATTTTGGTGTCTTGAATTCATAGTTCTCACCTTTGGCTGTTCATTTTGCTGACAACCATACATTCTGTCTTCTTACAGTTGTTGTTTAGACTTTTCTTCTTGCTTTCCTTTACTGTCTTCTGTAGGAGGTCCTGTAGTTTCCTTTATGTGTCTACTATCATATTGTCTCACTGTAAAGTCCAGTGAGAAGACCAATCCTTGTCTTACGCCCCGTTTATTTAGTGTATCTATTGAATTCATTTTCTATTCGCATGCAGGCGGTTTACTCCCACTATAGGTCCTGGAATAGTCTAAAATCTTTCCCAAATAAATAAATCTTACGTAGCAGTTCAAACAAGTCTTTGTGGCGTGCTTTATAAAACGCTTTTGCCTAATCTATAAACATAGGTATACATCATTTTAAGACATTTTTATGTTTATACATTCTTTTTATAAATACAAATATTTAAGTAAATGTTCTGTTTTATAATAAACAGTATTAAACAACATTTACCGCCCTGAATGTCCGAGACATTTTCATAGAAAATATTCGTCCTCCGAAAGGAATCGAACCTGTATCCTATACGGAACTGTCATATAGCCTGACGTGCCTTAACCGCTTCGGCTACAGAGAATCGTTCGGTTAGCAAGGTCGATTTTACTGTCTTTAAACTTTAATCTTCCATGAATCTCTCACGTACATTCATATCTGCTCATGGCGTATCAAATGTAAACAAATGACGTCACACTTTATGAAACGGACAAAGTCCGGCAATTATTTTAACACATTTTTATGTTTATGTTTATTCGAAGGACGAATATTTTCTATGAAATTTTCTCGGATATTGAGGCCGGTAAATGTTGTTTAATACTGTTTATTATAAACAGAGCATTTACTTAAATATTTGTATCTATAAAAAAATGTATAAACATGAAAATGTCTTAAAATAATTGTCGGACTTTGTCCATTTCATAATGTGTGATACATTATTTTGTATTTGTATTAATCTTTCTGATAGAATTCGGAACATAAATATTGCATTTCTTGTTCCAGTGTCTTTTATGAAATAGCATTGTTATTGTCCTATTTCCGGTCTAATTATGTTACGTGTTATATTCCTCATCATGTGGCTCACGAGACTGATTGTGTAGTGGTATTCCCATTCGTTTCCATCTGGTTTCTTAAGTAGCTTTATGAAAATGGACCTACTTGGGTCTTTCTGTATATTATAGTGGGTTATTTATTTATGGGTTTCGATTTGGGCCTTGTTAGGATTATCCCACTATAAGGGATGTATGAATAAGTAAATAAAACACGATAAACTATATCTTAAGAACAATCAAGTCTGGAGTATAACAATAATAATTTATATAAACATTAATAAGTAGTTTCGTATTGTACAAACCAGTAGTAATGTTCATAGATGGCACAAGTTTGCTATTTAAATAAGATTAAATAAAATGTTTTGTTTTATAACATTTCAATGAATACAAGAATTTGTAAAAGTATTCAAGTGTTTTTGAAAAATGCTAGTTTCATTTGGTAATATGCCCTGTGAATAAGAAAAAGGAGGTAAAATGTATGAGAGAAAGGGGGGGATGACGAGAAAGATCTGAGGAGTGGTAGTGGTTGTTGAAGCCGTGATGCTTTTGATGTATCTGCTCACAGTTGTAAGTGTTCGTTTCTCTGTGTCTTTTCTGTGCGTCTCCTGTTGGAATCTCTCTCTTTTTTCCTTTTAGACAGGGGTCTATTTATATTGATAGTGAAGGTGAAAGAGGCTACGATTCAGTTGTTAATCCTTTCAGGCGTGCTAATTCCTTATTCGTTAACATATATTTACTTAGGATTGTATTTAATCAACTTCAACCGGAAGTTATGCGTGGAGCCTAATGCGCAAAGCCCGAAATATGTCATTATGCTTTAAGCTATGAAAGAGGTAACTTGCTGTTTCTGTTCTTAGTGTTACTACAATATCGCCACTGTCGTATATTTCATTTCGGAGATGTGAAGGCACATTGGGATAACGAAAGATGCTAAGAATCAGGAAAATTTCCTTAAAAAGAAAGAAAAAATTATTGAACTGTTGTGTACTATCAGTCCTTCTATATGGCAGTAAATGCTGGACAATCCCTCACAGATGGAAAAGAGACTTGAAGCAACAGAAATATGGTTCTACCAAAGAATGCTAAGAATACCATGAAATGAACATGTGAATAACGAGGAAATTCTAAAGAAAATTAAAACAAAAAAGGACACTTATTCAGAAAGAGACAATTAAAATTTCTAGGGCATATAATGAGGAAAGACGGCTTGGAGAATTTGACACTGACAGGACATACTGATCTGATGGTTATAGGGACGAAGGGAAGCAGGGAATAACCTATAAAAAGAACTTTGACAGAACACACATTAGAGAAGACTGCAAAAAGACAAAACTTACTAAGTGCTACAAAGGACATGAAATTGTGGAGAGCCATGACCGCCTCGTCTCCTTGAAGGGACAAAACCAAAGCGATACCTCGTCTTACATAGAAAAAGAAGAATAATGACAACTGATTTCACAACTGTAAATTTACAAACCATGAAGCAAGAACTAAGGGAGATAATAACAAACGATAAAATGTTAAGTGATTTCCCTTTATTGTTTAAAGGCCACGTGATAAATACAGCACCTGATTTTGAGATCACTTTATTTGAGACCTTTCTTGATCGTAACACGAGTTACTGTTGTCCTGATTCTTCCTGGAGAGTTGACAGCAAAAATGGCTCGAGGGAAGATCGCTATTATTGGAAGGTTTGTGTTTCATAATTTTTGTCTTTACAAGCAAACAATTACAAACACATTAATTCTTTTGGCGCTTCGTGTACTGAAAAACTAATGGTTAACGAGCTGTTTTTTTTTTCTACTTGCACCTTTTTAAAACTTATTGTATAATAATAATGTATACCAGCTATTTTATGACTGCAAGCTTGTAAACATGACTACTGTAAAAAAAGGTCATTTTTGGGATTACGAGACTAGGTAAGTGACAGAGGCCATAGGCAACAATAAACTACTAAAAAAAAGTAAACTTTGTTATTGTTAGACTTAGAGTGAGAGGTACATTTTATTTTTCTTATTTTTTTTTTTTTTTTTTTTTTATAGCCATTTTAATTAGGTTGTTAGAGATTCCCCATGTCAAGTTAGCTAATTTGTTACCATAGGTTTCTTAAAAAATACGAATAATGATTTGTTTAGGTACAATTTTCTGTAATGGTGCGTAATTACTTTTTTTTTAACACTAGTATGGATAAATAAAAAAAAGTATTCTAAAAGATAACTCAGTGAGTAACTGTTTGAGTTTGCTCATGAGAATTATTGCCCCCGTTTTATGCCACTTTTGTTTTTTTTAAACAAGATGTTTCTTTATTGTTGCAGTAAAAACTAAAGGAAAAAAATATTGACAAATAACATGTAATGTAATCCCCCACCTTTTTTTTTTACTTAGTGCAAATCAGAGCTCGCTACTCTTAAAGAAAAGTAGGGGCGGGGAAGATAAAATCCGTGATGGGAAAATCAAATTCAAAAAGTTGTACGAAATTTTTACTAACGTGTTGTACAACTTTGCAGAACTTGTTTGTTACTGACAAAAAAAAGTAGGGATTCATTTAAAAGATTAAAAAAAAAAAATGTTTTTAATTTTATAAACAAAAATTCAAGGGTTAATAATTTGCTTTTTAAGCCCCGCGCTAGATGCATTTAAAAATTTCCGAAATCGTTATATTTCCGTGTCTGTAATAAATTTACATGCTGAACTCGAAAATAATTTGAATTAAATTTTGATAAAAGCTACCATTTTGAAACACGTTAACAAATTGGCTGAGTCTTTTTAAAAATTTACTTTAAAAACTGAAGTTTTGTTTGACTTTTTTGACTGTTTTACTTTTAAGACGTCGTTACTCGTTCTTCCCGAAAGTTTAGTAATGGCATGATTAGTGAATATTTTCCCAGAATTAAGCTTTAGGTTTTTAGGAGTATTAGGTTTAATTAGTTACTCCCCCTCCCCTCCCAATAAAAACATACCTAAAGTTTAAAAATAAAATGCATTTTAAAAATTAAATCTCTCTTGAAGCTTTTAGTTTTATTTTAGTTTTAATTTCAAGCTAATAGATTAGGTACCTGGTATTCGCTAAAAAATGTGTATATCTCATGAAAAAATTCCAAAAACTTAATAAAAACAGTTTTTTTTTTTATCGTCAAAAATTACTAAGACTCCTAGTTTAAAGTCTCTTAATAATCAAACAAAAGGATGTTTTTGAACTTTGCTCTTAAATTAAAGAGGAAGGTCAAAAAGTATTTTATTTTTTAATCCTTTCTGGAAACTTTTTTTTTTTTTTTGATAAAAATTTGTTTTGCTCACCTCAACGGATGATCATATGATTTGTATGGGCAATTTGAGCGTCTTTTTGCGATGAAAAACACATTGATTTGGAAATTCTGGCAAAAAAATCATGTAATTGTCGGATTTTTGTGAAATCTTCAGAATTTATTCACAAACGAATGAAATTATTTTAGAAACTTTTTTTTTTGGTAAAAACTGTTTCCACTGTACACACTACCCAGCTCAGGGTTTGAACTCTGAATTACTGTCACAAAATTCACAAACTAATGCTTTCTGTGATGAATACGAAATAAAAATAACTCTTTTCTCCTCTGATTTCTAATTCACAAGCCTTTACGAAAATTCGTTTTGACCGATAGAAAAAGGGATTGGCTCCAGGCTGAAGAAAAGACCAAGTAAATTTTAACGAGCCTATGTGAAAATTTATTTTGATCACTGGAAAAGGGAGTTGTTTACAAACTGAGGAAAAAAAAAAAAAAAGTAACGAACCAGTGTGAAATTGCTTTTGATATAAATAGGCTAAGAAAGTTGAATCAAAGCAGAGAGAGAGAGAAAAAGCAGAAATAAGCAGGAGGCAGACTTCCACATGTCTGAAAAACTCAGGTGTCAAATTATACGCTGATACATTATCAGCCTCTAATGAGAGCAGGGCAATTTCAAAGAACTCTATTCAACTACAAAGCTAAGTGCATTAAAATATATCTTTTCATTTATGTTGAATACAACTGTATAACTTTTATGTGAAAAACTAACTCTCAGTTTGTTTGAAATATTTTGCAATATTACTTTATATATTTAATATGAACATTTTATCTTTTTGAGAATTCATCAAAACTACGAACTTTAAATATTAAAGCATCAGTTTGTAAATTTAGTGATGTAGTAGTTGTGAGTTCAATCTCTGGGCTGGGTAGTAAAGATATTAGTATTATTTTATTTGCCAGTTATAATATACCAGCAATCTGGTGCTAGGAAATATATTTAATTGTTACCCACTTACCAGGTACTAATATTAGTATCAGTCTATCTATTGATACACTGAATAAACAGAAATGAAAGATGAGATAAACACTTTTACATGATTAAAACATTTAATAAGTATGTATTATACAAAAATGTCACAACGATCCGGACATGTCTCCCAAAACAGATGAATGTACAGATTTCTCCAAGAAAAAGCATGTCTGAACTGAGGTACATTAAAAATAGAATAAAATAAACCCAAATGTCTTACTTTCTCTGGTTTTCCTGATAAGATAAAATAAAATGCCTCATTGGAGTTGGAAATCCATGGTCTCTTTTCTGCTCAATAAAAAGGAGTGAATGATTAAAAATAAAAGTGATAAGAAGTTGTGGAGAGCCTGATTGTCTGTCTTGAAGGGATTTATGTATTTGAATTTTTTTTTTTTGTGTCCACTAATTGTGTTTCATTTAAGATGATTCATTTTTAAAAAAAATTTTTTTTTTTAAAATGCTAGTGTGATTTAAAACATTGAATTTTGTACAGAAGGAGTAATAAACATTGTTGATTTTTATCTAGAAGTATAAAAATAAGATAACATATCTATAGCAAAATAATTCTCTTAAGATAAACATCTTCATTGCTATTGAAATTTATTGAAAATAACAGTGTAATTACAGCAAAAGAGCAGATCATACATTGCATATTGTTGTTCCTTTCATAATCAGGGTGTGTACACATGCACCTATGAATATCTATATTTCCTTCTTAATCAGTGTGTGTTTGCCTGCCTATGTATATTTCCTTCTTAATCAGCGTGTGTGTCTATGAATATCAAGTCACAATTTTTTAAAATGAGGGTTTTTTATTTATTTTTTTTCTTAAGATAAGAGTTACTATTTTTTTTTTTTTTTTTTTTACTTCTTGAGATATGTCCTTGACCTCCTGAATTTTCCTTGTATTAACATCTTGTGGCCTATTTTTTTGTCATTAATGAATCATTATTTGAAATGTTTCTTCTGTTTCCATAAAGTATCAATCTGAATGATGCTGATATTTTGATCCTAAAACTGCAAACTTTTTAGAGTAAATTTGCCTTTTTAACTTCAAATGCTTTTCAATGTCTATGAAAAACACCAATTTTTCTTTTTTAAAATAACAGCTTAGATTTTAATATTTAAATTTTCACCTTAACATTCTCATTGGTACATTGTTGCTTGGCTGTGCTGACTCATTTTCAGGAAAATAGGAAATTATCATTTTCTGAAAATAACTATGAAGATCATGACAGTACTTTCACCTGGATGCCGCCAGTTTGGTTTTGATTGGATAATCTGCAGTACGGAATAAGCTAAATACACCTCCCCAATGTATAACGTAATAAAAATGCATCACAAAACAGGTTGCATTGTACACTGCTATATGTCTATACTTGCTTGAAAATAGTACTAGGCACTATTTAGTTCATAGTGCAAATTCTAGGAGTTGATATTTCACATTGTTTAATAAAAACATATATAGTATACACGTTGAGAGCAAGTAATATAAGTTTTGTAAAGGTATATAAGTATGCCCACAGCAGCTTAAGTGTTAAGGTTTTAGCCAATTTATATTCAGTCCTTTCAGGCATCCATCTGTTATCAGGAAGGACTCTTTTTTTTTTAACAATGTCTACCCTCTATAAGGTCTAAGAGCCACTATTGGGTTACAGAGAAAAAGGCTTATGTGGCTGTGTGTGTGGAAAATAGCAGTTAACCCTAGGCTTGAGCAAGTTAAGATTGTAGTGATTGGAGAAGCAACCTCTTGGGAGTCAATTCCACAAGGCAGTGGTTTGTGGGGAAAAAACTGGAACTTACATCTCACCAAAGAAATAGGAAGGGAATGAAGGTAGTCTGATAGTGTGCAGTATGGCGGGTTTTAGCCTTGAAGGTTAGGGCTGTTGGAACTAAGGAGTGTAGTTCACCTGAGTACTACACTCCTTAATTCCACCAGGATAATTCATCACCCACAAGGATGCAGACACCCTTTTGGACTGGAAAGAGAAGACTGGGCAGCTCCTATATGGCAGTAATACTCCATTTTCGGCCTGATATAGCTCTGGTAAAAGTAGCGGATAACAGGAGTCTGGTATTTGCTGGAGCGATACAAAGAACTGGCCATTATTATATAGCATCTGGTATTACTGATTTCAGTCACTGTACACTTTTCCCACCCTCAGTTGAGCTCTGGTGAGAGGAAAGACAAACCGTTTTTTGTTTTTCTTTTTTGTTAATTTATTTACTTTTCAACATTACTATTTCATGGTAGCGTTAACTCCTTTGTTATTCTCCTTGTTTTATTATGAAATTCTGTGCCCCCTTTCAAAGATGTTTGGGGAAATTAAAGAATGAATATTATATGGTTGGTTAGATTTGTTTCTGTTTCATGTGTGACAATAGAAATAACATAAAGAGGAGTAAAAGGAACACAAGACCAACTTTGTTTTTATAGTAAACAAAAAACGACTTTATAATTTAACGACTTTATAATTTAACGACTTTATAATTTAACGACTTTATAATTTAACGACTTTATAATTTAACGACTTTATAATTTAACGACTTTATAATTTAACGACTTTATAATTTAACGACTTTATAATTTAACGACTTTATAATTTAACGACTTTATAATTTAACGACTTTATAATTTAACGACTTTATAATTTAACGACTTTATAATTTAACGACTTTATAATTTAACGACTTTATAATTTAACGACTTTATAATTTAACGACTTTATAATTTAACGACTTTATAATTTAACGACTTTATAATTTAACGACTTTATAATTTAACGACTTTATAATTTAACGACTTTATAATTTAACGACTTTATAATTTAACGACTTTATAATTTAACGACTTTATAATTTAACGACTTTATAATTTAACGACTTTATAATTTAATAAAGGGTTATAATTTTAATGATTTGATCAGTAGCTAAAAAGGAAAAAACACAAAGACTTACTAGCAAAAAGTTAGAAATATTTTAAAATACCTTCAGTTGTGAATTGCTGGTTTTTGTGGTATAGTTTACATGTCAGGTCAATGAATGGTGGTAAATGAACTGCACTGAAGCAGATTTTAGCAACAACTGACTTTACTAGACAACTTGCTTAATTTTTGGGTGGCAACTAACAAATACAAATACCCAGATGAAAGACCTCCCTTTGTAAGATCATCTGACCACATCAAATGACCCAGAACTCTGAGAAGTTTAATTCACAAAAATATTCTCTTAACACTCTGTAACTAGTGAGTTTTTGTAGCTGGATCAGTAGGGTACTTAGCATGAATAGATAAGCTTCTAGAGGAAAGGGATGGGAGTTCAAATCTCACCAGATGCTTTTTTTTTTTTTTTTTTTTTCTTCTATTTTTAACTTTCAGATTCAAAATGTTTGTTTATTACTAAGTCTAAAATGAGTGGCTTAAACTGTAAATATTGTTTTTTGTCTTGTGGCTTTCAAATACACAAATTTTCTGATATGTAACTGTCATACTAATCAAGTTTGAAGCCACCCACATTAAGAGGCGGCTATATTGTGGTTGATGGAATATTTCTAGGTTTTGAAGATGACCTGTACATTTTATGTGGTCTCACAGTAAGAATAGAATGCTGGGTCAACTGTGTGAAGAGATATAATGCTGAGAGACCTGAAATTCCTAATGATCCCAGGATATCATCACTGATGATATGGCCAGGCACATCATCCTGTTCATATTTCTATATAAGAACCCATTAGTTAGCTGAATAGATTGATCATTGCTGCCAGTAATGAAATGTGCTTCATTCTCTGTTAATCTTTATTTTGCTTTGCCAGGTCAACTTGGTTAAAAAAGTGAAATTGTGTATAATGTTGTGTTGCTTAAAAAAATTTTCAAGCTGAGAAATTTTGAGCCTTCTTTTTTGAAGGTATTAAAAGCCACATGTATATTCTTAACTAGGTGTGACTAACCTTTCAAGATCTCTGTATCAATTTTTGTATACAAGAGTGCAGGTACACCATACAAACCTTGTATTCTTATTGTAAAAACATTTATATAGATATATTTAGCATTTTTATATAATTTATTCACATAATATAAAACGAAGATGAACACTCATTTGGAAATGCCTAAACGATCAGCTGTATGTAACGAGCATGCGCGGAAGCGTCCTCTAACTGTATGTGTGTGTTGTTGCCGGGCACACCTTGGAGTACCATAATGGACTCGACCGAGGACTACAGGAAGATGTGCGAGTCATTTGGCGTCTTTTCTTAGGCGACAAAAGCAGTTGTGGTCGGTCGTCCGTCGGCAGCAATCTTCGGTACCGTTTTGCTCGTTTGCTGTCGTAAAGTTTGTTCGGAAGAGAAGGCGTTCGTTTTTGTGTCACAAGAAGTTGTTTTTTTTTTTTTTTTTTTTTTTTTTCCTTCCCGTTTTCTCGCACACTGTATACAACTTTTTTCTTGGATCAGTGATTTAAAATGGCTTCAAGCAAAATCCTTTTGGCCTTAAAGAATAAAATCCCTTATCAGACTCTGTAGACTGGCCCTACAAAATTACAAAGGGCTTTACCAAGTAAAAAAAATAAAAAACCCACATCATTTGAAGACTTCCAATAGCAGCAACAAGTAAAATGGATAGCATATTTAATTAGAAGGAAAAAGAATATATTGTACTTGTGTATGAGCCGGCTTCCTGTATAATGCATCCCTTGAGTTTTTTGCATTAATTTTAATCTCCCCCCCCCCGCCTGCCGAAAAAAAAAATGACCTATGTATAGCGCAACTTGTCATTGAAAATGTATGATTTTTAAACTCTTAAACAAAAAATTACATGTGTATAATGCAACCTCCCCTGTATTTTACATTAAAAACTGATCATATAAATTTGCACTATTCTCTAGTATATATAGTAATCAAGATGTTGACTTTCCACACAACCAAATAAAAGGTTAGGTAGGAAACTCCCATTGATACTAGAGAGATAATGGTGAACTTGGGAAGTTTATTTTCCTGAAAAACTGGTTTAAGATTTTATGAATTTCAACTGACAGTTACGTTAACTGTTTGGTCAATGAATGCTGAATGTTTCCTTATAAGGAAATGGCTAATCTCATCATTACTTCTCTTCATGAGACTTTTAAGTCTGTTTTGATTTTTGTTAAACTTTTAATGTTTGGATTTAAACTACTTCCTGAGAATAGCAGACAACTCTTTTTAAATTTTGATTAGTTACAATCTATTTTATTTTTTTTTTTTTTTTTTTTTTTTTTAATCAATTCCAAAATTGAACAGAATTGCCTGATAATTCTGTGCAAATTCATTTTTTTATTTTATTTTTTTTTTATTTTTAATTCAGGAAATTAATGTTCTCATTTGGAACTGAGAAGAGACCATCATATTAAATTTCCTATGAGCAATTTGTCCTCTAGTCAACAAGTTCCATCTGTATCTTAAAAGGCATCATTGTAATTTTTTTTTGCTTATAAAGGGGAAAATGGGTTTATAAATGTATGTAGTCTTTTGTTAGATGAAAGGGTTTTCTGTTACTTTTATTAGTTTCAAATTACGGTTGAGTGATGTCTAGTAGAACTAATGTTTTTTGTTTTAAAAATTGTACTGCTTTTTTATAAAAAAAGTTAAATACCAATGATTGTTTTTGTTTATAAGATAATCTGAAAAGATGAAAGCCAATTTTTAAAATTTTTATTTATTTTCATTTATATATTTTTTATTTTAATTTTTAATATTTTCATTGTTACTTATTTTATTTTAGTTTAACTTTTACCCTGTATCTTTGTTGGTGTTGTTTTTTTGTTTTTTTTTTTTTCCCCTTAAAATTAAATTGAAAGTTTTTATTTGGAATTGTTCAGCAAAAGTTTTTCAGAATTGGAAATGTTCGTTCCACTAGGAATGATTGCAGAATACTTCCCCTCCCCAATTTATAGGCAAAAGCACTCAAATGCAGGCTGGGATTTCGTCCTAGCAAGAAAAAAAAAAAAAAAAAACAGTCTGGTTCTTGCTTTCATCTGACTCAGTCCTGGTCTGTCTTGTCTTAGTCAGAATGCTATGTTTGCTTATTCAAACTTGCTTTTGTGTGTCAACCCTAATTCTTCATTTGTAAACTTTTTGCCATATTACTGTTGCTTTGCCTTCTTACTGTTAATTTTCTTTGCATGTATTGTTTGCTTGCTTTATATCATCTTTTGTCCTGTTCTTTTCTTGTTGTTGCTTATTGCAAACTTTGTCAATTCTGTTTGTTGGGCAGTACTGTCTTTTATTTACATTTATCCAAGGCCACTCTACAAGAAAAAAAAATCTTTGAACAAGTGTTTAATAACGGGAGGAGAATAATTTTTCAAGAAAAAGCTTAAAATACTGATCTGTGTACATTTATTGTTTGGGATATAAACTATAGTTTTAAAACTATTTTTGATACATTGTACATATTAAATAAGTGACTAAAAGTTTATTCCGTTGTATTTTTTCTAGTGGTCTCATTGGTGGAAGCTGGGCCATGATTTTTCTTTCTAAGGGTTATAATGTATCAATGTTTGATGTTGATGAAGTACAATTGGCTGCTGCTCAGAAGAAAATCCCTGAGAATTTGAAGAGATTTGAATCCCAGGGTAATCTACGTGGAGAGATTTCAGCTGATGAACAAATCAAGTTGATCACCTTCACAAGTGATTTTGCCGAATGTATCAAGGATGCAATTTATGTTCAGGTGAGTCGAGAATTTTCTTTATCCACGTCTGTCATTCGTTATGATTTTTGTAGCTTTGGTTTATTGCCATTTCTGGACATTTGTGAAGCCTTTAAAATGTTATGTAGTAAGTTGAAGTTATATTTTAGCCATATATTATAATTTAGCACATTTTGTTTTCATCTGGATATCTTTGCATTATGGGTGATCTTCATCAATTCATACGATCTCAAACAGATAGCATCTGATGAAGAATATTTGCAGAGCCAGGCAATGCAGACTTCTGAAGTGATAGGATACTTGCCTTTATCTCAATTTTCTTAATGTAGGGCATTAAGTTTGGTGGTATAGACACTAATGGCAATGTTAGCCATTTCACTACAAGGAAACATTTGGCATTCATTGACTAGTACACATTTCCATTGAAATTTTATAAAATCTTTCTCTTGAAATGTTTTTTCAGGAAAATAAGTTTTTCAAGTCAACTGTTGTTGCTCTTTCAACTATTGATTAAGGTTTCCTTCCTAACCTTTTATTTAAATTAGTGTGAAGTGTCAACATCCTGATTGTCATTATTTTCTCTTTGAGTTACATGTGTTATTCATTTTAGTTGTTGCTGCTGTTGGAAGTCTCCAAGTGATGTGGTTTCTGTTATTTGGTACAGTTCTTTGTCATTCTGTAGTGCCAGTCCACAATGTTCAATGAAGGATGATGTTTGTCAAAACCCTCAGGCTTCACTTGCTTTAAGGCTTTTTTAACCATTGATCCTAGAAAGTGGTTGCATACAACTGACAGTTTAGATATTTCTGAACAAATTTGGTGCCATGCGTGGCATCCATATGAAAATCTCAATTTGACAAGGCTATTCATAACATGACTCAATTTTTGGTTTTGTAGCTGTTTGCAGTGTTGTCCAAAATGATCCCTAGAACAGCCTATTCTATGTTCAACTTCCTTTTCTCCTATACTAAATTTGTTTTAACTGATCCATAGGCCGAGGTATCTGAAGTGTTTTTTAGTATTTACTAATTCCACATTCTGAATTTTTATGCTAGATTCAAAGTATGTGCCATCACTGCTTTCATTCCAATTCCAAATCATATATTCTGTTTTGGTAAGGTTTATCTTTAGTCCTATTTCTTGGAACACTTGGTAAGTATGTTGATATTCAAGGTCATAATGTCCCAATAATATCTGGGACAGTAATGATTTGAATGTTCCACATTCTGGCAACTTAAATCTGGAGATTTGTTTATTGCAAAAGGCCAACATTGTATATCAATTTAAATGTATTTTAGGAGATTGTATCTCTAATAAAAAATGTCAATATGTATGTTGGCTTTACTACGATGATGTTAACAAAGACTTGCATTTCATTTGGTTGAACATAGCTCAATACATCAGCACTTAATGGAACACTCATGCCTACACTCACAGATTAAACAGATATTGGTTGAAAATACATCTATATTACATTAAAAACAATAACAAGCAAAAACTAAAAATGCTTGAAGACCTTTTATAAGAGAGTTAAAGCTCAAAATAAATAAGGTCAACTATGAGTATAGCAACAAAGTTCTTAAATGCTTATGAAAAAAAAAATATCATGTACATAAAAACAAAAGTTACTTCCCTTATATTGGAAAAATCTTAAAATAACTCTTGAACTTTCAAATCTAGACTGCATTAGCAGTAAAAAAATAAACAGTTGAAATGTTTTAAATTCGCAGAAATACATATTCACAGACAACTTAACCCTCTGAAGATGATCTCGGATGAGATTGAAATTGCATGGGGAAAATAAAAACTATTTGAAAGAAAATTTTGATATTTTTCTTAATTTTCTAAATCTACCAAAAACTCATCCGAAAACTTGAAAGGATCATAATGAAAACCAATTGACATATGTCTGAATTATTTAATGGAACCTCTGTGTGTGTGTGTTTGTTTGTATGTGTATGTTAAATGGCATAGCAATATTATTCTAAATGCGATGTATGGGAACCTCACCATACTAATGTTGTGACAATGCCACACAATACTAATGGAGAGTTAATGCCCAGTAGATTTCATCTTCTTAAATACTGTCTTTAGCTGTACATAAGAGAACAGTGGCTGTTATAAGAACAGTTCATTTATCATATATTTTCTTTAGATTTGATTCTAATTTTTTTTAATACACTTAATATTTAAAAATATATTTTGAAAATCTATTTACTGTTTTGTTCTTTTCAGGAATGTGTCCCTGAGAAATTGGAATTGAAAAGAAAAATATTTGAAGATTTAGATAAATTATGCACTGATGATATGATTTTAGCCAGCTCAGCCAGTTGTATTGCCAGTTCCAGATTTAATTATGGCCTTAAGCATGCTAAGAATATGCTTATTGTACACCCAGTAAGTAAATTATTTTATGTCTTATTCTATTGTAAATAATAGTAAAATTATTTTAAATTTTTGGCTAGAATTTACTTTGAATTTTAGTATTTTATTAGATGACGCATTGCAACCATTGTTATTCATTTTTGAATTAGTATTTACTTTTTAATTCTGGATAACTTGAGTAAGTTGTGAAGAAAAGCATTTAAAATATGAAGATGTCAATAAATTCTTATCAAAAATAAATAATAATGGTTGACAATACTTCATCCCAATGGTGACATAGTGGATATAATAATTGGTTATACATGTGTTGCTGTCATCTAGTGGTCATGAGTTCAATTTTTTGATCTGGTAGTGAAGCACCAATTTAGCAGGAATGAACAGTGACATTACAGGAACAAATTCCAATCAATAGACACTCTGATGATGACCAAAGGATATTTGATTGAAACTTTGTCTATAATATCTATATCAACCAAGATGAGAAAAATAGGCAAAGCCTACATATTGATAAAGGACTCACACCCAAATATTTTCAACATGTAGAAGCAAGCACCATTTCTTTTCCCTACCACATGGATGGTGGAATCTGGATTTTCGGCTGCTGTGGATGTTTTCAGAAGAAAAAGAAATAAATTAGATCTCAACAGCAAAGGAATTTTCAGACTAAGACTGAATGACGACATTAAAATTGATTCTGATATCTTTTGTCAGAAACACCAAGATCAAGGTACTCACTAGCTGAATTGACTAAGACTGAATGATATCAAAACTGGTTTTGATATCTTGTGTTTATCCTTGTTTACTGAAATAAATTTTAAAGTGTAAATAGATTACTTTGTCTTTTCATTGAGTATTTTAGTGTGAAAATTGAACACTCTAAAAGTAGGAGTGGTCCATATGAATTTTTTTTGAAGAAAAAAAAATGGTCAATGGGCTGAAAAAGATTGAGGAACACTGCTATAAATAGTTAAATAGGGAGAGCGAAACTACTTTTTTTAAAAAAAATTCCTAGAATTAGCAAAAGAGCAATAAGTTAATTTGGTCTCTTCAAGCATTGGCATTTATTTATCTGACCTTAGATAACCGACATTTTGATATTTTTTGACCTCATTGTTTCCATTTCTTTTGTAGGTTAATCCACCTTACTTTGTGCCTCTTGTGGAAATTATACCATCAGATCAGACTAGACCTGAAATTGTGACAAAGACTCGGCAGTTGATGGAGGAAGTGGGTCAAGCTCCAATCACACTGAAGAAAGAAATAATTGGCTTTGCTCTCAATCGTATTCAATATGCCATTTTGAATGAGTGTTGGAATATGGTCCAGGTATGTATTTTTAGCTGTGCATTCTTTGAGTAATTCGGGCAAAGATCTCTGCGAAACAAAATCTTTTTTTTTTTTTTTTTCACTCCAAGTATGGCAATAAAGCCACTAAGACCCAAGAGGTTACTCAGTGTGAGAGAATATAAGAAAAAAAAACATTAGAGAGAGAACAATAAAAGACAAGGAATTAAGAATGCACCAGCTGTTTTCCTCTATCTTGCTTTCAATATACCTTGTGAGTGTTAAATTCTCCAAGCCCTCTTTCTGTGTCATATAGCCTAAACATTTAAACTTTCTGATTCTAAGTAAAAGTATCCTTTTTGTTTCCAGTTTCCATTTTCCTTAAAACTTTCTCCTTGCTCACATGTTCCATCCATTGTATTCTCAGTGTCCTTTTGTTTTTATTTTTTTAATCATTTCATCCCAAGCAAGGCAATAATGCTACTAAGATGCATGTGGTTACCGAGTGTGAAAGAATATGAGAAAAAGAAAAACATTAAGGAGACAGAACAATGAAAGAATAAGAAGACAGAAGATAATGATTGACATTGCATTTACATTTTTGAAGACCAAAGTTAATTGGAAAGCAAGAAGTCGGAATGCAAGAGAAGGAACCGTTAGTATGTTATAATTAGCCATTTGAACATATAAATGAGACCTCACAGCCAATCTAGTAATGCACTGAAATTCTATTATAAATTGTTGCAAGTAATGTTAAAAGTTGAGGCAGTAGAAAAGTTAACAAAATTAATGAAGTTCAAAGTATGAAAAGTCGTCCATATTAATGTGGAAAGCAAATGATTCAGATATTTGGGATAATTTGATAAAGTGGATGTGCAGGTGGTGGAATGAGAAAGTGGAAAGAAGTTTGAATTTCAGTCGAGTTTGTTACATGTACTCGTGTGTATGTACTGTTGTAATGGAATGTCCCACACTCCTTATCGCATATGTGGACTGACCATATCAGTGTGTATATATATATATATATATATATATATATAGTGAGCACACAGAATTGAAAAATATTCATGTTTTATCATTTTCTTGATCTAACTTAGTTCTCTACTTTGTTTTTATTTACAAATGTTAATTTTGAAAATATGTTTATCATTGATAACTGTGTACTATTACAAATTAGAAAAAAAAGTACAATATCAGTGGTGCAGCTGGATTGTCCCATCAATGAGATGGTAATATTTAATGACTTAAACAGCAAAATGGTGTGACCAGTGGAACAGAATTGGTACCTAATAATCTGGTCAGTTAATATAATCTAGTTCATATATTTTATATACAACTAATGTTTAAACAGTTTATTTTTTTTTAATGCTTTCCGAGAGTAAAACTACATTTTACTTTTGTCAGGCGGACCTCCTCAATGCTGAAGATATTGACAGAGTTATGGTTCATGGATTGGGAATGCGATATGCTTTTATTGGTCCTCTTGAAACAATGCATCTGAATGCTGAAGGTAAGTAATTGACATATATTTATGGTTAATATTTAAATATTACAATGTAAATAAATTCTTCCCCTCCCCCTTTTTTTTTGTTTAATCATGTATTTCTGGTGTTCAATAAAATTGAACACCAGAAATACATGGTTTTTTTTTTCATAAGCAACTAATTTTTAAGCAACCTGTACACAAAGTTGACTAAACCATAAGCCAGGGGTTAACAACCTTTTGCTAGCTATATGCCGATTTGGGTTTTTAAAATCATTCACTGTGCCAACAGCATACATATTTTTATAAGTCAAGTTCAATATCCCTGTTCTACAATATATTTTCTATAGTAATATATACAATATGTAAACCACATTATAGAAATAAACTGTTTTTAAAAGTTTTTATTATTAATGGGAGTCCAACAAGTGAGCAGTTTTGAAACTGGCTGCCTAGGTGACTCCCAATTCCTCGCTGGCTGCTGCTAATCTACTTACCTTACTGGGTACTAGCTGGGGTCTTGCCCCCTTATTTGTCCACTTGTGTTCCAGAAAAGTAAACTACCCAAAAAGCTGGATGGGTGGTCAGTTTCTTCAAAGGACTGTATTTTTGTGATTATCTAAAATCATTGACAAAATTTTATGTTTGCCAATTCAAAGGCAGGCTGGAGACAAGAATCTTGAAAACTCTGGCAATTAAGCTGACTCATAGATGGACTGGAGATGAAATTCCTAAGAAACTTAGACAATTAAGTGGACTTGAGTAGATAAATTAATTTTCTTTTTATCTTCTAAGGATGTGTGAGAAATCATATTGTTACACAAGAAAGGTGAAATATTGTTAGAACCTGGATCTAAATTTACTGTGGATGATCTAGTGATTAAAGCACTTTCTATATATTTTTGTCTTAGTAAATTGCTTTCTCTTTTAATTAGAGTAGCATTTTTTTAAATCAAAATTATGGTCAGATCTTTAAGGCAAAGAACTCCTGCATTGAGTGTGTTGTTTTGTAAAAGATCTTTTTTGTGTTCATATCTTTTATTTAATTTCTTGATTTCTCCTATGTAATCTTTGTGACAATTACGGGTGATAGAGTAAATTCTTTCAAGTTTAAGCTTATTTTGTTTCATATTAAGTCTTTTATTGTTTTTAAGCTTAAGTATAAAATTTATATATTGTTGTCTCACTTTGTAACACATACAGGATGCAATGGATAAGTTGTCTAAATTATGCAAGAATGAAAATAACACTGACATCTCATTTTAACAGGTATATTTACCAAAATTAGTCAAAAATACCTTGAAATACTAGAGTAAATTTATTCAATAAAATCATTGGTTTCAACCACGGCCTCCAAATGTCTTAGGGATCTCCTGCAACTCTTCTGGACGGTCTCCTTGTTTAAGTCAGTGAATGCTGCTATAATCCTTGCCTTCATCTTTGGTCTTACAAGGAGTAATCATGGCGGTTGCAGTCTGGGGAGTTAGGTGGCCAGATGTAAGAGATGATGTCACAGAAATTATCTGACAGACATGACTGGGTTTTCCTGTTTGTGGCATGTGCAGCCACCCACTTGACCCAGGGCAGCACAACCTCTTCAAGGGACTTGATGTAGGCCCTCACCAACAAATTTGGAACTTCTTCAGTCAGTTTTCCAAGCTGTTGTATATTCATAATCACCATTAGACTCCTCCAACTCTTTCTGAATCATCTGCACTGTCCTCAGATTGAAACTTAAACACGCTGAAATGTTTGTATTGAAGTTTCTGGCACATGCCAAGCAGTACAACACGCCATTTTCAAATTTCTGGTGGAGCGAACTTTGTTACAGTGCTCTTTTTCTCACATACAGTGCCCAACTGAGCCTACTATATTGTGTAGTTGACAAAATCAAGAACCAAAAAAAAACACACATGTAAAATTAAAATATAAATGGCGACAATTTACCCATCGCACCCTGCATAATTATAAATGCAACAAATTACGCAGTACTTATTTCAATTAACCGCATTACTTAAAATGATTACTTTGCTACTTATGTAAATGTAAAAACAGTCTTAGTTGGAATTAATGTTACAACATACAAACAACATACATGTATGAAATTAATATATAAAATGGCGGCAATTTACCGATTGCACCTTGTACATATGATTTAATTTTTGATCATTTTATTTATAAGTTTGTTTTAAATATCATTTGAAAAAAGATCTTTGCAGCAGATATTCTATCAATTGATATGAATACATCTGTATTCTTAATAAAATATTAAGAAAATAAAAAAACAAAACAAATGAATTTGATTATATATTCTTTCTTTCTGCAGGCATTGTGAACTACTGTGATCGTTATGCTGCAGGTGCCTTAAAAGTTAGTGAGACATTCCAGCCGCCACCCCTATATGATATTCCCACTGCAGAGAAATTGAACGAATACTTTTCAGAGCATATTCCACTTGAAAAGCTTGAAGAACGGCGAAAATGGAGGGATGAATGCCTGGCTAAACTTGCTAAACTCAAGAAGGAAATACCAAAATAAAGTCTCATCTGCAGCTTTGGTGTCTAATACAAGGGGGGGAGGTCTTTAATGATGGTAGGTGGGAGTGGCCATAATTTTTCTCCATATTTTCTCCATATGCAATAAACAGGTGTGATTTCAATTATTTAAATGATCAAAAAGTGTGATATTAATAAGTGGGAATCTTAATGAACTCTGAGTGGCTAGGTGGAAAATTCTCTAAAAAAAAAAAAAAGATTTTGTATCTGAGGAACTTGGGATTAACATACCCAAAATTTTTGAGACAACTGAACCTCTTCTTGTCAATGTTTTGGCCAATTTGTTTTCAGTTTCAGTCTTTATTTAGTGTATTCACAGAAAAAAAATAAATTTTTTTTCCCCCAGAAAATGGTCATGATATGCTAATGAGTCAAATTCATTTCCAGTGTCAGATATGCAAAATGTCCAGGTGATTCCACACATACCGAGGAAAGGTGTGGAGAAAAAAAAAACACGAATGTTAAAATCTATGGTTGCCTGACACCTGTCTGCCAGGACTATATATGCTACCTTTTTTTTTTTTTTTTTTTTTTTTTTTAACTTAATACATGGCCCAAGATGCACTCAAGGTAGAGAGTTACTAATTGAAGTATGTGATATAAATATAAGAGGAAGTAGAAAGTGAAAATTACTGGGCTGTAGAGGATAAATAACGATCAACCCTTGAAGAGGTTGTAGCATTCAGGGAAATATCCACACAGGGGTCTTTCCCAAGGTAACTTTTCACCCCCCGCCTAAAAAAAAAAATAAAATATATATATATATATATATATATATATGAGAGAGAGAGACCTTATATATCTAGACGTTGTCTCTAAGGCAGTAATGTGTATCTGCCTCCTCCCAGATATGATCCAAAACACTAGATGTGAAATATCCTTAGCAAAGACCGAAGAATGGATCAGCTTGAGTTTTATGCTAACAACAACAACTTGTAAAGACGTTCTGTGGTCAGACATTTGGCTGAACGGACATTTCACCAAAAAAATACAAGTAAAAATAGTAACAAGCAATACTTTAAGTATTTTAATTAGTAGTATAGAAGGTAGAATAAGGCTAATAATTACCACAGAATTTCAAGTGATTAAATTACTAAATTTAAGTTTCCTTATTTCAATATTTGTTTATTGAAATTAGTATTTTCAAAATATTTGAGTGTATTTTGGTCAAAAGTAGCACCTAATTATTTAAATTTGTATTTAACTGTAAGATAGTTGATCTCTTTAAGATGATCATTAAAAGCGAAATTGAAAGATCTTTCATGTCGTAAAAGCTTAAGATTTTTCCTGTAGTAAACATGTGACATACATATTAGTATGCCACTACATTTTTGGTTAAATGTCTGTAGGCCAAATGCCCAAGTACCAGAGGTTCAGTTATCTAAAAAATGTTAGGTAAACTTGTTTTACCATCCATGTTCTCCATCTTGGATCTAAGTAGACACAATATTGATGAGTGGTTTTAGCTTTTACTTAATATGATCTCCATATTATTTAAAAAAGAAAAAAAAAAAAAATTCCTATTTCAAAATTAATTAAAATCAATTTTGTATTTTTTTTTTTCTATTCTATAGTTTATATATTTTCAATAAAAATTAAAAATTTATTTAATATAATCAGAAAAATTAAACAATTTCTCAATTTTGTTCTGTTTCTGAGATTTTCAGCACAAATGATTTTGATTCTGCTTGTTCTTTAATGTGTTATGACCTGCCAATTACCTCAGATAAACAATGGACCATTCCTACTTGAATGAAGCAGATGCAGTTGACATATGCTATGCCTCACCAACAATGTGTTGTTTGCCCATTGGTTTTGTCATTTCATTTCATTTCATGTTATGTTTGGTGGGAACATTTACATGAATTGAAACCTTCTGGTCAAGTGAAACAAAAGAAAGATCCATCCTGGTTATGACTATAATCTACAACGGTGTTCTGGGTAAGACGATAACATCCAACAGGAAGGCCTCTGATCAGGAGGTTTTGAGGAACGTAGAACCACCTCTTAATTGCTGATGTTCCCAGGTCCAATCTAACCCAGGGTGGTAGCACATGTTAGGGTCCCAGCTATGGGCATATAGTTAACCTCCAAACTTGGGTTAAAAACACTATGAAAGTGTAAAAATGTCTTAATACCAGCAATAAATCTTTTGAGGAAAGTATTACCAGTAATAAAAATCTTGCCGGCATTAAATAACCCATTGAGGTATTGATATGCCGTAAAACAAACCAAACCAGAACAAAATAATCGTATTATTATTCTGTTTGCTCCTTTATTCCTTATTCAGTTAGCACATCATTCTTGCTTTGTAAATACCTCACAAATAATGGACTATTCCATTTTGACCTTGGAAAAGACAGAGATGCTGTTTAGTTTCATTCAGAGAAACATTTAATTGCAGCAGGAGTGTTTAATGGTTGCTTCACTGTAAAAACCTTGTTTTGTCATCTGTCACATGTACATAATACAATAACAGAAAGACTTTAATGTATTTAATTACCAAACGCAATTAAAATACATTAACAACAAAGAAGTAAAGTGTCAACGGAAAGATTGATTACTTATCAGTTAATACATGACTGTGTAGAGCTTCTAAGAAAAGGACTAATTTGTCTTGAAACATTACTAGACTTTAATGTCCTGGTTAACACAATAGTCAACACTGTAACCACAGTCAGTAGCATATCATCTCTATTTATAGTAAATTGCAGCCTACATTTTCATTGTCTAGGGATTTATGTTCAAGCTCTGGTGTCAGCAGTGATACTTTTAAATCATATGACAGCTTATAAATTTTGAATCTTTTCATTTGTACCCTCTTACTTTAAATAATGACCTGTATTCATATTTATGATTGTTATTGAAACATTTTGTTAAAGTTGTTAAGCTCAGTTATTTAATGAGACAATATAGGTGTTTTATAGTTGTAGAACTCACTAGAAACTTGTTCAATCATTAACTTAAGAATTATGATTCATCAGAAAATTTAGATAGCAAAACTGAAATTTTCATGGGCACTACCACTGATAATGAAACCTCAGGGTTGCTTCACTGTAAAGGTTGAAAAAGTCTGGTGAGAAGACACATCCTTGTCTTACGCCCCTTTCTATTATTGTGTATTTACTGAATTGATTTTTTATCCATATATACAGGTGGTTTGCTTCCAGTATAAGTTCTGGATTATCCTAATATTCTCAAATAAATCCAGCTTATCTAACCATTCAAATAGTGTACAAGACACGCGTACTTTCAAAAAGACTGAGAACATGTACATGCTGACACCATTGATTCCATGCTACAAATAAAACCCAGGGCAAACTCATTCCATTGTTTATAAAAAAAAACCCTAATAGAATAGCTTGTACACAGTGGTAGATTTACCATTGTGCTTAGGTGTACAGTTTGACATTCCAACCACCTGAAGAAGGCCAGAGTGTACAACGGCTGAAACGTTGTAATAAATATGGTGACAAAGATGAGGACAATAGTCCGAATAATGTAAATAGTGGTCAGGAAAGATAAAGATGTTTAAGGATTGGGTACATGGTACCGGGCAAAATTAAGGTCTGTTATTGTCATATGAGCTGAAAATGTTGAAGTGAGCACGTTTACAACAGGATGCAGCAATTTTAAAGTTTAATCTAAATAAATTTAGAAACTGACAGTCTTTTCGAAAAAGGTATGAACTTGGAATATGTGCATTCTTGAAAATTTTATTTTATTTACTAATATTGTACTTTGTAGATATCAAGAGAATGGAAAGGAATAAACTGATTCATGTAATAATTATTTTAAAATTGAGGCTCTGTGAATTGCACCAAGGATTGGTTGATATTTACTAATCATTGACAAAATGCTAAAATAATGAATGATCTAAATATCAACATTTTTATTAATGATTTGTAAATCTTTTTTGCTCATCGTTTTACAGTAGGAACGTTATATCGTATTGGTAGATGGCCAAATAAACAGGGGAAATAACTCGATAGTCAATTACCTCCCTTGAAACATTTTAAAAATTATGTATACGAGTTCACATATGTGGAGACGACAACGGCTAAACTACTCCACTATTTATCCCCGAGTCATATCAGTATATGTTTACAGGTGTTAAAACATAAGGAAGATGCGAGGAGCGATAATCGCTTACGTTCTGAAGTGACATAAAAAAAACCTCTTCAATATACAAGCCATTCATTATGAATACTGAACATAGTTTGTAAGTGGCATGTTAAGAGGAATGGCCATTGTGGATGTTTGTCTACGGCTGCATGAATAACATGACCACGCAATTTATATTAAACGTAAAATACCACAAAGCATGAAATACAAGAAGGAACAAAATGGTTTTAAAAACATGACATGGTATTTTTATTTGTGTGTTGATGTACATGCGTAGAAGTTAAAGATCTGATGGAGTTACGTCTCTTAGATTGGGAATATTTCGAACGTACGTGAATGCGTGAATAATGTCTGACCGCTCGTGGTCTAAACGAGAATCCTGAAGATCACATCTTCGGAGGAATTTGGAAGAGTAAAAGAGAATGAGCGAACTCGTGTCTGCTATTTATAGATAATGAAATCACGTGACAGGATCACAGCACCTCGGCGGGAAACTTGACTTGGTCATGAGCTGGAAAAATATATTGTGCGTGGGTGGATTGCAACGCCCGCTTGTGTGTTTATTGACCAATTAGCGAGCGAGTTTGGGGGAGACCTAAAAAAGCCTCTGGGATCCGATTCTCCCAGAAGTGCACAAAATTGACTACATGAAAATAGAGCGATCACAAAATTGTCGCATTGCTGCGATTTGTAAATTGTCTATAATAACGCAGTGGTGATTTATTAACTAATGAATGCTTGTCGTTGTATGTGATTTGTATTTGTGTATGTATGTATGTATGTGTGCGATGTAGATCGGCACATGTTCGAATCGGATAATTCGGGGTTTTTTTGTTTTGTTTTTTGGCAAATATTTTG